AAAGAAAGAAGATGGAAATTAAGCTGTAAAAAAAATAAAAAAAAGAGTCTCCTAGTCACTCATTGGTGACTTTTGACCAAATGATTTGGTGACACTGATTTGGCGATGATGGGATTTTGAATAATATCAAAAGAAAACAATATCATGAAAAGCCAGGATATGGTAAATTTAAAAGTCATGGTTTTCTTTCAACAACATATCGTATGATCATATCTTAATTTGGCTAAACATCTCTAACCATTTATGGGGTTAAGCTTTTCTGGGTTGTCTTGACGGCGTGAAGGCTTGAAGCCCTCTTACTATTTTCAGTTGTAAAAAATTCTCTTTATTTTATGGGGTTTTATAATAACATGTGAGCTGATGGCTTGAAAGATTGTACATGGACCTGTGATGGCTGACAAGCAAACAACGCCAGTCAAAAAATTCACAAGGAATTCACTTGATTTGGTGGAATGATGGTGATGGTGGAACTTAAGTTAGAAAATTAAATTGCTAATGCCTAATCTGAGAGGTTCCCAAGAGCCAAAGACATGTACTAGTCATTTTTAACCTAGAAGCTGCCCCTTGTGGTAGATTTTGCCATATGTGACCTAGAGCTAGGAGAAGGCCAATTAATCTGGGTCCCTCTTTGGTTAGGGCACCAGGCTAGGCTGCATGTAAGCCAATTTGACAAAGCTGTTGGGATTCGGAAAAAAATATGGAAGACCCTGATAATCAACCAAGGCACTAATAAAGTTCTTTCTGACTTTCAAACCAATCTTCCTTCCAAAAAGAAAATCTCATGACGATGGTATCTTTCTTTCTGTGAGGATATTTTGATGTTGTTGAGAAAGTGCTTGTGAAAAAGCGGTTTTTCATACAAGTCATGTCACGGCACAAACAATTTGGTATCTTTCTTTCTATGAGGAAAAAGGTCCAAATCCCAATGCATTCATATCCTATAGGCCAGGCAGTAGATGAGATTTACAATGGTAACTATTCAATTGCCACTGCCACTGCCACTGCCACACACACATGACGCAACACATGATGCTACCCAAAGCAAATCAAGCTGTTTTCCACTTTTTGTTGTTGTTGCTGTTTTTGTTGGATGAGTGTCCTGCTCAATTCCTCTTATTGATTTGATTTGATTAGGTGTATGATAAGATCCCATATATTTACTATAATGTTCATTAGTATTGAAAAAGAAAAAAAAGAGGTATAATGTTCAAGAGTCAAGTTCATTGGCATGCATGAGTGTCAACTGTCAAGCAGCAGCGGCAACTAACATGGCAGAAGGTCCAATTTCATCCAGATATGTCACTCTGTTCTGCATAGCTCTGTAGCTACTAGCTGGCGCCTGAAGGATGATGTCCCAGAGCAATTGCAGACTTCGATCACAAACAATCCAGTCCAGTCCAATCCAAATGATCATGATTAAACTAAAAAATGGTACCATTAATTTAAAACTCTCTGCTAAATTTATTTGTTTTGATGGCTTTGTCCACCTAATTAAAGTTGAATTTCACAAATCCATCCCTTTTCAAAAACTGGTTTCCTGGGTTGCTTCAGTTTTATATATGAGATTTTGTGTGTGTGTGTGTGTGTGTGTGTGTGTGTATCTGTCTGATGTGGGATTTTATGAATCTCGTAGAAAATTGATGCACATTTTGTTAACGAACCAGTGAATCAAAAGCCACAAGTGTTCACACATTGAATCATTTACTAAAAGCAAAGCAAGAACAATCAGACCTAGCCACAAAATACTATCAAAAGCAGAGACCTTGAACTATTAAATTAAAAACAGAGTCGAAAAGCCAAAAACGCAGAATTAAGTGGACTTGGAAAGAGAGAGCAAAAGAGAAGGTGCTAAATTATATGCATTACAACGGGTTTGGTGGGTAATGGGTATGTGATTAATTGTTCTTCTTTGGTGTTGGTGTTGGTGGTGGTGTTTGGTGTTTTAGGCTTGCGGGGTTTGGGAGGCCACTCCCACAGTTGATGATGAGGACGGAGCAGAGTGAGAAACCAGAGAGCTGAAGTAGACTACTAAACGAACTCTTCCTCCATAAGCAGATAGTCCTTGATTCTGTCCAGCTTCAGCAGCCGAAGCTTGCACTTGGTCAGCAGCGTCAAGGTCGGGAGCCGAGCCGCAGCCTCGGGACCCTTCTGCTTGCGCTGCTTTCGACCGACTTGGGCCGGCGGAGCAGCTGGCTCGAACTTCTTCTCCTTCTTATCATTGCCGTCAGGCTTTCGGTCGCCTGGTAGGCCTTGCCGGTTCAACCCGCCCGGAGTTCCCTGACCCATTTCTTGGTTTTGAGAGAGAGTGTGAAAGTTTTGAAGGGTGCGAAATTGTCTTTATAAACAAGTCATTGAATCTTTGTATGCGATGCGGCTATATATTATGGAGAATAGGCTTTGTTTCTATTCGGGATTTTAATTGGGCCTTCACAATTTAAATAAGATTGTGAGGCCCAATATAGGCCTCTTAATCAGGTATCTATCCAAATTCAATTTGAGTTTTAAGTGAGCCCAAGGTGTGTATGCCTAAGATCGCTAGTTGTTTAGTGAGTTCTTTTGGGTCCACATTAACCACGTGTCCAATAACAGTTCTGCAATTGATCGGGGGACTATTAGAGCATCTCCAAGGGAGATGTCAAATACCAAATATCAAATTTAAATTTGATGGTTGATGTGATAATTTGACATCTTACACAGCTTTACACTCCACCCGATATGTCAAATTAAATTATTATTTTATTACATTTTAGTGTTGATTTATTTTTAATTAAAAAGAAAAGAAGTAGGCTACTAAACGATCAAAACTCATGCGTTTCATTTATTTTCTCTTGGCGGGAAATACACTTGCAGCTTTTGGCTTCAACCATGAGAGTTGGTGTGGGCTGTGGCTCTTCCAGGACCATTGATGTAGGAGCATAGGGGTGAATCAAGATAGATATTTATCATTTAATTAGTTATTTCATGATATATTGTTATTTCTTTGAATGAAAAGCTATCCAAGGAAGATGGGAGTGAACAAGCTGACGAAGGGGTCTATAGGCAGATTGTTGGAAGTCTGTTGTACTTGACTGCAACAAGGCCAGACATTATATTTGCAACAAGTCTTTTGGCTAGATTTATGCATGGACCTACTAGAAAACATATGGGAACTGCCAAAAGGGTACTGAGGTACATTCAAGGCACATTTGATTATGGCATAGTGTATGAGAAAGGAAAAGAAGCAAGGCTCATTGGCTACTATGACAGTCATTGGTCTGGGAGTGAGAATGACATGAGAAGCACCTCTGGATATGCATTTAATCTTGGATATGGTGTGTTCTCGTCAAGCAAAGTAGTGTAGCTTTGTCTACAGCCGAGGCAAAGTACATTAGTGCAGCAGAAGCCACTGCACAAGCAATCTGGTTGCGCTTTGTTCTCTCAGATTTTGGTGAAGAACAGGTAGGTGCTACTACAATTCTATGTGATAATACCTCTGCTATTGCCATAACTAAGAATCCGGTGCATCATCATAAGACAATACATATAAACAAAAGGTTTCACTTCATCCGAGATGCTTTGCAAAATAGAGAGATTGATTTAATGTATTGCAAAACTGAAGAACAAATTGCAGACATCTTTACCAAGGCTCTAGCAAGAGATCAGTTTGAATACTTGAGAAGAAAGCTTGGAGTAATCTCAGCTAAACACTTAGAAAGGAGTGTTGAATTATAAGTGTTTTAGCTTATATGATTTTGTATTTAGTTTAAATTTACAGATTTAAATGTGAGCCCTTGGATTATAGTCCAAGTGGACAACTAAGATCTAATCTTAGAATAGAAGAATGGATGGCTAGATTTGGATGATGTAATTTGGAATATCTTATTCCAGCTGTTATTAGTGCACAGTGTGTGTGTGTGAGAAGAATAACGGAATTCTTCCTTTTGCTCCTTCCAAACGCTCTCTCTCACTCTGAAAATTCCTCTGAAACTTCTATTCATTCAGTAGCATTTAGTAGCATGCAAGTTACAATTCAGATTCAATTCAGATCATAGTCTGAATTCTAACAAATTGAGCTTTTGGGAAGTTTAAGGGGGAAGATGGGCTCATGCCTTCTTGTGAACAGTATATAGACCTCCCTCCATTCTCTTGTAGTTTTGAATCAGAAAACGCCTGTGGTATGCCATGATGACAATCAATGGAATCATTAGATCCTGACAACATAGCCTTCGGATGTTCTGGGTGTGAGATAGGCCTGTCAGGAGGAGTTAATGTTTCCTTATAGACTGGGCTCTCATGAGAATTTTTCAGAAAAATGGCAATATTTAAATGACTAAAGGGAAAGAATAGGTTTCATTGAGGCGAAGACTGGGTTTAGAGTGAAGCACCTTTAGGTGGAAATCTTGGAAGGCCATCAAATTCATATAGGGATAAGTTGGACATTGACTAAAGATATAAAATACAAGGGATGAGCAACAAGGCTCCCTTGAAGCATGCAATTAGTGACCAATTTCGAAGGTAGGGAAGGTAAGAAACAAATAGAAAAGAGATCAAGAGACACAATCAAAGTGGCATTAACAATTAGGCAAAACAAGAACATAATAAAGCAACTGATCTTTGTTATATAAAAAAAAAGGGAAAAAACCATCATCGATTGACTTGTTCAAAAAAAGGAATTAGGCAAAACAAGAACATAATACGCAACTGATCTTTGTTCAAAAAAAGGAAAAAAAAAAACCTTCATCGTTTGACTTGTTCAAAAAAAAGGGAACAAACCTTTTGGCTTGGAACAATGCCACTGAATGGTAAACATATACAAACTTTCCTCTGTATCTATTATTAGGGGTGGTTGCGGTTCGGTAACCGCGAATTTTTACTCAAACCACAAACCGATCGACTATTTGCGGTTTGGTGATTTTTGAAATCGCAAACCGACCGACTATTTGCGGTTTGGTTGCGGTTCGGTAACCGCAAGTTCTCAAGCATTTACAAAAATATAAATTCACAACCTAAATAAATAAATACACAACCTCAATTTCTCAAGCATATATAAATTCACAATCTCCTCAACTTCTCAAGCATTCACAACTTAAGAAAATTAAAGTTATAATTC